GGCATATTGACATACTCTATAAGGGAGCCACTCACAGGCATTGTTCTAAGCACTTTCTGTCTAGTAACTCATTCAGCTTCCATCGCAATGTTATGATTTGTTAATAGCCATCTCAAATTATTCCTGTTTTACAAACAGTAGGAAGCTGGGGCCCAGAGAGGTCAAGCACTGTGCCCTAAATCACACAACTAATGAGTGGCAGAGCAGAGAGTCAATGCCAAGCAATTGCATTCCAGAGCCTGCACCTTTAACCCCTCACCGTCCTGCATGAATGAAGGAGTGAGTAAAGGAGAATAGCTGGTTGCAGACGGTCATGAGCGATCCCTCCTCCTTCCCTGTCTGTTTGATTGAAAGGGTAAAATTAGATCTTTACAAGACAGTAAAGATACAGTAAAGGGTATAATCAGGAATAGAAATGAGTGGGGAACTCAAACGGTGGCTAGGGGGAGGCTCAGTCCCAATCAACCGGCCTCTATCTGTCAGGAGCTCTTCCCGGGATAGTGGGGTTACAAGCTGTTGAAATCAAGGGAGAGAAGGGTTATGACCAGCCAAGGCCATGGCCCGAGGCTTGAGCCGGCGAAGGCTGGAAGCAAAGACAGAGGACCCGAAGCTGCATCTCCCGTGAAAGAGCGAGTCAAAAACATGACGGGAGAACGGAGCACCACTCGGTCTTGCTGGGACGTGAGGCTGAAGACGGTGCCCCAGGAAGTCAAGTCAGGAACCCACGGGTGCGGGTTCTCTTTGACCAACAAGAAGCTTCAAAAGAGGCAAAACAGGTCTGTCTTTAGTCCAGCCAGGTTCGCGGTTTTCAAGTTTCAGAGTCTGATGTCAGACATCAGTTCACATGTCGTGGTTCAACTCCTGGTATTTGGGTGGCAGCCTGAACTTTGCCCCTTTAGCCACTTAACTTTCTCCCTAACCTTCTGCTGGATCCACCGAATCCTGAAGGGCTGGCATTTTCGTCTCAGAGAAGAGCATGGACTTGGAGTCATCAAGCTGGGCAGGCCTCTGTGGCATCCGTATTCTTCTGTCGTGCTGGGACTGAGGTTACGGCTTGGACTCAGAGTTAGAAATGGATGACTGGGAAACGAGGCTGTGTGGGTCACTGGGAGGAGGGTGATTCTGAACATGGGCGGTGCTGGTTGGCCTCTGACCCATGCTTCAGTCAGGATAGGCTGGGTTATGCTGCAGTAACAACAGCCCCCAAATCTCAGTGACTTGAAATAACAAAGGTTTAATTCTTGCCCAGGCTCGTGTCCCGGACCAGCAGGGCCTGCATGAGCTTTGTAACAGGTCGTCATTGTCATTGCTCCAGGTCAGAAAGATGGAACAGCCACCACCTGGAACATTGCTGGTTGCCATGGCCCAGGGCAAAGAGCTCGGGTGCATTGTGTATCAGCTGCTAAATGCCCCAGCCCAGAGTTGGCACACGTCACTTCTTGTTACAGCTCATTGGCTGGAAGTAGTCATGTGGCCCATCCAACTCAGCTGGGAGGACGAGGAGCGTAATCCTCTATGCCAGGAGGATGAAAAACGGAAATACTCTGAACAGCCGTAATTACCATCTTTAGTCGGTCTTGCAGGTCCCCCTGGCTATTCGAGTCACTGAACCCTCTTTCCTTAGAAGTCAGAATGTTTCTCAGAGTGGGTGAGGGTGATAACGGTGCACTGGAGGTGGGGTGGGTGGGTTCTGCATGACCCTCTGCTGCTGGCACAGCCCATCACACCTTGCTGGGGGTCTTGGGCATTTGTTGGACTCCCTGAGTGTTCAGCTTGCCCAAGGTCTAGTCCCCCCCGCCTCTGGAAAGAGAGGGCAGCAGCCTCCTCCCTGTGGTTGTTCCTCACCAGGGCATTTGGAACCTGGAAGCTCCGCTTAAGACATGTTTGGGGTCTAAGTCTTTGACACAAGGTGGTGGGTTCAGGATGCTTGCAGGGTGAGGCCTCTCTGTACCTGAGGACTGTGAGCTCCTCCGAAGGTCCCGTTCCTCCCCTTTGGCTTTATTTCTTGTCTCCTGGGACCACATCTTAGAGGACACAAAGCTCTGAAAAGGTGCAGCTGTCCCCAGAAGTAACCGTGGCCCTGCACGCTGCAGGCCTTAGGATTCCTTGCAGGCTCCCCTGCTGCTTGGCTGGTCAAGAGGGAGCTCTGCTCACTCCGTAAAGATGATACGAGCAAAGAATCGGGCATCTTGTGTGCTGAGAGCAAGAACACAGGAAGGCGTGCCTGGGGCACCGGCTTCGGCTCTCCCGGCCGTGGCCTGGACCTGGCCCCAGCAAGCCCGCCCTCCCTCCCTCACTGAAGCAGGGAGGACTAGGGGAGAGGCTTACCTGCTTATCGGGAGGACAGACACTGGGCTGCTTCCCTCAGGCGAGACACACAGGATAAATCCAGGGGACTGTGCTGGGACTAGGGTCTAAGAAGCATCACATTTCTTCATCTTTGGTCCAGAGGGGCCATGGGGCCTTGGCTTGGGTCCATCCCTGCTGGAGTTAAGGAATGGTCCTCTAGGAAAAGCCGGGGATGGGGAATGGAGGTGGGGATCCAGAGCCAGGTCAGAGAAGAAGACCTGGCCGTCCACGGGGCCCTTCTGCCGTGCAGCGTTAGGCCGACCTGGAAGGCAAGTAAAGGCTTCATGAAAACGGGAGTCAGAGCAGATGCGAGAAGGGACCAAGGAGTCGGTCAGAGATGTAGGGCCTTTGGATCACGAAGGCCTGGCTGGCAATGTGGACTGGAACCTGGGGTGGAGTAGACAAGAGAAACGCCAACCAGGCTGGTTCTCTACAAGAGGGGCTGCCTTGCTGAAGGTCAGGTCTTGCTGTTGGGGCTTTGTCAGTGCTGAATCCAGAGAAAGGAATGGCATGACTGGTGCATGGCCCAGCCTGGGCAAAAGGCAGGAGGCAGGATAGGATGCCTGGAGGGGCCGTCCTGAGTGGGCCTGACTCAGATGGGGAGGGAGGCACAGAGGACTCAGAGCACGAAAGAGGATGTGAGCAGGAAGAAACTGGCATTGATGGTTTTACATGTTAAAATCCTGCCCTACTGTCAGGGCCCAGAACCAATGCTACCTTGTCCAGAGAGTTTTGTCATAATCTGGGATCGAAATGCATCTTCCTTTGTGATTCTCCACCTATCAGTTCTTGTCATGCCCGCCTTGTGCTGGAATTAATAGCTAACCCATAATGGGTGCCTGCCAACAGCCTGATCTCCCCGTGGATAGGACTTGGCTGCAGGGTGCTCCCAGCTCAGCACCTGCCTCTGAGGTGCCTACAGGGTCAAAGGGAAGACAGCAGGATGTGGCGGGGTCCTTGCCCCAACTTCCAGAGGGCTGCCCTCTGGTGAGTTCTAGGACCACCTGCCTTCTACACACCTGGGCTATTTGTTTAGAAGATGCCCCAGACTTGCCCAATCTTTCCAAGGTTTGTCCCCCAAATCTTCCCTTTGTTGTCTTCTTTTAAAATTAATTTTAATGAAGTGTAATTTATGTATAATAAAATGTAACCATCGCAAGGGTCAAGTTTAGTGAGTTTTGATAAATCTACAGTCATGTAATCATCACCTTAGTCATGATGTAAAGTGTTTCCTTCACACCAGAAAGTTCCCACATGCCCCTTTGCAGCCAATCAACTACCTGCTTTGGCTTCAGACAGCCGCCTCTTTTTGCTACTATAGGTTAGTTTTATTCCTTCTAGAATTACATGTAAATGGAATCATGTGATGTGGTGGGTTGAAGGTGGCCCCAAAGATATCAGGCCCTAATCCCTGTAAACATCACCTTATTTGCAAAGTGTGTCTTTGCAGAGGGGATTTTGAGATGAGGAGATAACTCTGGGTGATCTGAGTGGGCCCAGAACACACACACACACACACACACACACACACACACACACACACACACAGAGAAGTCCACGTAGGACAGAAGCAGAGAACTAATGCATGTAGAGATGTGGCCATAAGCCAAGGAACACTGGCAGCCACCAGAGGCTGGAAAAAGTGAGTCATGGATTCTCCCCCAGAGCCTCCAGGGGAGTGAGGCCATATGACACCTTGATTTTGGCCTTCTGGCATCCAGAACTCTGAGAAAATAAATTCTTGTTGTTTTATGGTACCAGAGTTGTGGTAATTTGTAATAGCAGCCCTAGGAAACTAATGCATGTGATCTCTAATTTTCTGTGTCAATTTCTTTTGCTTAGCTTGATTTTAATATTCTTCCATGTCATCTGTGTCCCTAGTTCGTTTTTGTAATTGCTGAATAGTTGCAGGGATATAACATGATTTGTTGATTTATTTCACCTATTGATGCATATTTGAATTGTTTCTAGATTCAGGCTATTATGAATAAAACCATTGCGAACAAGTGTGTGTGTGTGTGTGTGTAAACATATATTTTATTTCTCTTGGGTAAATATCAAGGAGTAGAATTGTTGGGTTATATGGTGGCTGTATGTTCATTTTCATAAGAAACTATCAAATACTTTCCAAAGTGGTTGTACCATTTCGAATTCCTAGGAACAATGTGTGAGCATTCCAATCACTTCACATTCTCATTAACACTTGGTTTTACTAGTCTTTTCCTTATCATATATGAATATGTATTATATATACATGTAAAATAAATAAAAATATAAGTCAACTTTAAATATAAATATATAATTAAAAAATATATATTTTACTCAACTTCAATTGAAAAACATTTACTTGTAAAGAAATACTTCTTTTTTTTCTAAAGGGAAAATAGAACAGTTCATGACAAGTGATGCATAAAGATGATACTCTAATATTTGTGGAAGATCAGATAATACAACAAGAAGTTTTATTTCTATAAATATCTAAATATGAATCAGGTGATATTTAGTGTAATGGGTAGATATTTAGTCAAGTGTAAAGTTGTAGATGCACTGAAATCTTCAATTTTTATTTTCTTAACTTTTAAGTGTTGAAAACCACAAACATAATTCTTCAAATGTTATTTCACAGTACCTACTGTCCTGTCTTGTCACTAGAAACTATGGAATGCTTCATGGATTTTCATGTCACCCTTGCACAGGGGCCATGCTAATCTCTGTATCATTCCAATTATAGAATATGTTCACGGTCAGTCTTTTAAATTTTATTCAAATGAATGTATAGAGGTAACTCACTATGATTTCTAGGACTAAAATGTTGAGCATCTTTGGGTGTGCTTATTGGCTACTTGTATATTTTCTTTTTGAAACATCTGTTCAAATCTTTTGGCCACCGTGTGTGTAGGGGTCGTTAAATTCTTATTGAGCTTTAAGAGTTCTTTATATTCTTTGTATATTCAGGATACAAGTCCTTTGATGAATGTAAGTATTGGAAATATTTTCTCTTAGTCTGTGGCTTTCCTTTTCATTTCCTTAACAGTGAATTTCAAAGAGCAGAAGTCTTTAATTTGTAAGTTCAAATTTCCAGTTTTCCTCCTTATAGTGGTTTTTGTGTCCTACCTAAGAAATCTTTGCCTTTCAACGTCAGAAAGATTTTCCCCAGTTTTCTTCTATAAGTTTAATGGTTTTAACTTTTATGTTTAGGTACATGATACATCTTGAGTTATTTTGTGTGTGTGGTTTGAGGTAAGATGTAAGATTAATGTTTTTTTTCTTACAGCTATTTTTTGAAAATAGTACTTTTCTTCCATTGAATTACCTTGGCACCTTTGTTGCAAATCAACATGTAAGTTGTTTATCCACAGATACGTGCATAGATCATGTTTTTTGACGATACTGGATGATGTTACTTCTAAGATTTCTTTTTCCAAATGGTTTGTGGCTCAAACCTGCACTTTTATCAAGCACTTATGGTGTCTTTTATGACCTCTGAAGTATGAGACCCTTCAGTTGTAGGACGGTGGCTCCTAAAGAGGAATAGGAATGATGGTCCCCCGAGGCCAGTGCCCCCCTCCAAAGGGCCTGATTTAGCAGGCTGGAGTAAGTCCCCAGAAAGAAACTTACCCAAACGAAGAGCCATTGATTCTTTTCTTAAAAACAGTAGATGCATCCTCTCATTTTCATTCACATGTTCGTTAGCCACACGAGGACGGACTCTTCTAGGAGTTCTGAGGTGCCGAGGCGAGCAAGGTTTAGTAGAGACAGAGATGAGCAAACGGGCCAGTGATGCCCCCCATGTGGGGTCAGATGGGAGTCAGCAGAACCGTATGGGAAGAATGGGCGGTGCTGGTGGACCTGGATGCCGCTGAGGACGCTGCAGTTCAGGGACTTGGGGGCCTTTGTCCTATAGAGACCCTGAGGCCTGACTACACCCCATGCTGGTTAGTCTGAGCCTGAGGCTTCTTCTGAAGGTTAAGACGGCATGTCACGTTCCCTGCAGATGGGAACTTTCTGGCTTTGTCTTGGGACGGTTACATCATGCTGTCTCCCGATGCTCTGTCCCTAGTGGAAAGTTTCAGGCTCTGGAGGTGCGGAGAGAAGGCGGCTCGGTTGCCTCTGCGGCCGCTGAGCTGTCCGTGTAGCTTGGTCTCCGTCCACCCTGCCCTGTTTGTTTGCGTCTGGGTTGCTTCTCCTCATGACCAATTTCACACCATACCCGAAACCATTTGGCCTTTCTTCCCTGTCCCCCTCCACCTGATCAGTGATTCTGGGAACGTTGTCCAGACTGATTGCTCAAAATGTGCTAAATAGGCAGGGCACCCAGGCCCCCAGAGCTCAGCTTTGCACTGTTCTCGTTCTGGCCGGGGCTAGCGCCTTGCATTCTGTAAGGAGAGGGAGCTTGTTTGTTCTCTAGAATGATCCAGAAGCCCCTGCACCTGGTGGTTGCTCTTGAAGTGGAGGTGGCCAGGTGCCGGGGAGCAGCTGCCCCGGCTCCGAAGTTGCCCTGAAGCAGTGGCTCGCAGCACCCACTGCACAGGAGACCCAACGCCCTGGAGAACTTTGAAAGCTTCCAGTCTCCGGGCTGTTCACCAGAATCCTTGCAGGTGGAGCCCCGGGCTGCAGTGTGTTCGAAGTTCCCCAGGTGGTTCCAACAGGCAACTAAGTGTGGGAGCACCTGATCTAAAGGGATGGACCCCAGTGAGATGGGGTGTGGCAGAGCAGGTGAGCCTGAAGCCAGCCTTAGCAAATTTGCCTCCTTGGACAAAACATGCCATGTTTTCTTTTGTTTTTGGTTAGAATTGTAGGGTATCACCCCTCTTTCTTTAAATTGCTATCCCAGCCTTGACTGCCACCCTTGCAGTGTCTGGTTCTAGGATCACCTTTCAGGTACAGAATATCCCCCCTTGGGCTGGGCAGAGGTGCAGAGGATGTGCTGGGTCCTGTGTTTTCTGTCGTAAGCACGCTGCTGTGACATCTCGGGTTGGTGACGGCTGGTGGAGCTGGGCGGTGCGCCGGGCTGCAACTCAGTAGAGCTGATTCACCTGGCGACCCTGTGCTCAGGCTTCTTCTGTGTCCACCTCACCCACTCATGCCCTCATTCCGGACTTGGGCTTGTCATGCCCACAAATGCCCGACCCAAGCATCCTGCCTTCCGACCACAGCACCCTCTCCGTCCGCCCCCTCTGGCCCCGTCCTTCCACACCCTCACCGGGATCCCCACCTTCCTTCGCCTCAGCCTATGGTTTTCGGTGACACTTTTGCCACAAACCTCCTGCACTCCTCCCATATTTCATAGAGAAAACGAAGGTGTAGATTGAAAGTCTATGACTTCCAGACCTGTCAGTGTCCTCATCCCCGGCCCCTTGTCTTTCCTGTCGCCACAGTGGGACCTCCCTCCTCTCCAAGGCCAGTCCCACGTCTCCTGGGGTGCCCATGCCTCACTCCCCACATCTTCTGGACCTCGCACTGATGACCTTGTCTGTCTTTTGTGTATTCAGCCACTGGCTTCCCCCCGCAGCATGCTCCTGAAGCAGCACTGGCTGATGGTACCTGTAACTCCCGTGTCAGCAAATCTGATGGATTTTTCACTTTGTTTGACTGCCCCCTGGACCTCTCAGTGGTCCGAGGCACCTGACTGCCCCCTTCCTGAGATGCTCCCTGCCCTGTTTCTTCCCTGGTTTTCCCTCTACCTCTCTCCCCTCTCCTCCCCAGTCTCCTGTGTAGACTCACTCTTTCCTCCCAAGCCGGTAGCTGTAGACATTCCCCAAGCTGGGTCCTGGGGCTTTTACCTCTCTGTTCAAAGCCACTTACATCCTGAGCCCTAAGGATTACACGTCCTAGATGGTGCACTTATTCCATCTCCAGTCTAGATCTTTTGAACTCAAGGCATATATATCCCACTGTCACCTTGCCCTCTTTAAAAATTGTGCTAAAAAAAACGTGCAACGTAAAACCAACCATCTTAACCACTTCTAAGAGCATGCTTCAGTAGCATTAATTGTATTCATGTTGCTGTACAAAAAATTTCCAGAGCTTTTTCGTCTTGCAAAATGGAAGCTCTGTACCCATTAAACAACAGCTCCCCATTCTCCCTCCCCTTCCCCGTTATCACCTTTCCACTTTGTTTCCATAAGTTCTACTTTCTTAAATACCACATGTAAGTGAAATCGTGCAGCATTTGTCATTTTGTGACTGACTGACTTCACTCAGCACAATGTCCTCAGAATTCATGTGTGTTGCAGCAGGTGTCAGGACTTCCTTTCTTTTTAAGGCTGAATCATTTGTACGTATTCAGCCAGACCTTGGAGATACAGCAGGTTTGACTCCAGACCACTGCAATAAAGTGAATATTGCAAAAGAGTTACTCAAATGCATCTTTTGGTTTCCCAGTGCAAATGAAAGTTATGTTTGCACTATACCTCTCGTCTCTTAAATGTGCAACACGTTATGTCTAAAAGAGGTACTTATCTTGATTAAAAAAATACTTTGTTGCTAAAAAAAATCCTAGCCATCATCTGAGGTTTTAGCGAGTCCTAATCACTGATCAATATAGGTCACGGTAACAAATATGAGAATGAAAAAGTTTGCAATTTTGTGAGAATTGCCAGAATGTGACACAGAGGCACGAAGTGAGCCAGTGCTGTTGGAAACATGGTGCCGATAGACGTGCTTGCCACAAAGTTTAATTTGTAAAAAAAAATGTAGTGTTCATGAATTACAATAAACTAAAGAACAATAAAATGAGGTACACCTGAATACCACATTGTGTTTATCTCTTCATCCATTGGTGGATCCTTGGGTTACTTCCACCTTTTGGCTATTATGAATAATGCTGCTATGAACACGGGTGGCAAATATCTCTTTGGGGTCCTGCTTTCAATGTTTTTGTGTATATACTCGGAAGTGCAATTGCTGGATTGTACGGAAGTTCTATTTTCCATTTTTTGGGGAACCTCCTACTATTTTCCAAAGCAGTAGCACCACTTACAATCCCACCAATAGTGTACAAGGGTTCCAATTTCTTCACATCCTCACCAACACATCGTTCTCTGGGCTTTTTTGGCGGTAGTCATCCTAACATTTGTGAGGTGGTGTCTCATTGTGGTTTTGATTTGCATTTTCCTAATGATTAGTGAGGTTGAGCGTCTTTTCACATGCCTCTTGGCTATTGTATATCTTCTTTGGGGAAAGGTTTATTCTAGTTCTTTGCACACTGTTGAACTGGATCATTTGTTTTTGGTTGTTGTTGAGTTGTAGAAGTTCTTTGGATATCTGGATTATTAATTCCTTATTGCATTTGCAAATGTGATTTGATTTATATGATTTGCAAAGATTTTTTCCCCTTTTGTAGGCTGCCTTTCACTCTGCTGATTGTGCCCTTGGGTGTGCACATGTTTTGAATTTTCATGTAGTCTAATTTGTCTATTTTTGCTTTTGTTGCTTATGTGTTTGCTGTCATATCCAAGGAATCCCTGGAAAATCCCATGTCATGTAGCCTTTTCCCTATGTTTTCTTTTAAAAGTTTTATAGTTTTAGTCTTTTGATGCATTTTGAGCTAATTTCTGTTTGTGGCATAAGGTTCAACTTCATTTTTTTGCATGTGGATATCAGTTTTCCTAACAGCATTTGTTAAACAGACTGTCCTTTCTACACTGAATGGCCTCAGCACCCTTGTTGACGTCATTTGACCATGGGCCTAAGGGTTTATTTCTGGGCTTTCTATTCTATTCCACTGGTCTACACATCTGTCTTTATGATAGTACC